AAAAAAAAAAAAAAAAAAAAAGCCACTCAGGTTCAAGTGATTATTCTGCTGCAGCTAATTTGTTTTTTTTGTTTTTGAAACAGTCACACTCTGTCACCCAGGCTGGAGTGCAGTGGCGTGATCTCAGCTCACTGCAACCTCCGTCTCCCAGGCTCAAGTGATTCTCCTGCCTCAGCCTCCCTAGTAGCTGGGATTACAGGCACTTGCCACCACGCCTAGCTAATTTTTGTAATTTTTTTAGTAGAGGTGGGGTTTCACTGTGTTGGCCGGGCTGGTCTCAAACTCCTGACTTCAAGTAATCCACTTGGCTGGGCCTCCCAAAATGCTGGGATTACAGGCGTGAGTCACCGTGCATGGCCAATTTTTGTATTTTTTTTTAGTAGAGACTGGGTTTCACAGTGTTAGCCAGGCTGGTCTTGAACTCCTGACTTCAGGCGATCTGCCTGCCTCAGCCTCCCAAAGTCCTGGAATTACACGTGTGAGCCATGGCGCCCAGCTCAAGCCTTGTGTTTTCTTGTCCAAGGAGATAATGCTTTAATTTTGGGGGGTCTCATAGTGGCTTGCTCATATTTTTCTAATATGCTATTAGGGTAAAAAAAGAAAAAGGAAAAAAACATTGTGAATAAAGTTGATATAAAACATCTCTTTAGAAATTATTATTTTTGACTAGGGTGATGAAAGTACAAGTCAGACATCTTTTGAAACATCAAACAGAGAAACAGCAAGGAGCCAGAACTTGCCCAAACCTTTCACTGAATTCTCATTGCCTGCTGAACAGCCCACACGGAAGGAGGTAAAGTACCTCATGCCTCTCACTGAATCGTGTCTGTGTGCGGTAGGAGTACTGAACTATAGGTGAGTGGTGTACTGGGTGAAGATCAGGACTGGCCTTTCATCCAGATGCTGTCTTCTCACTACCTTACAAAGTGATCACCTTCATTAAGAATAGGCTGGGCACACTGGCCTGTAATTCCAGCACTTTGGGAGGCCGAGGTGGGTGGATCACCTGAGGTTGGGATTTCGAGACCAACATGACCAATATGGAGAAACCCCATGTCTATTAAAAATACAAAAAATTAGCTGGGCATGGTGGTGCATGCCTGTAATCCCAGCTACTTGGGAGGCTGAGGCAGGAGAATTGCTTGCACCTGGGAGGCAGAGGGTGTGGTGAGCTGAGATC